CACAGAAAATCTAGCTAAAAGTCAGATAGAACCAACTTCTTCCTTTCACTAATTTTTTTTTTTTTTTTTTTTTCCTTCAAAATAAATATTGGTCAGTAGAAATTAATTTGAAAGATTTACTCCTGAACATTTGAACTTATATAAAAAAAAAAAATTTTATATATATATATATATCTCAAGCTCTTTAGCATGAAACATCTAGTAATGTGCAATCTGCTATAAGCAGATATAGGGAGAGCAAAGAAAAAGAAAAAAAAAGACAACAAATCTAGTTTATTTCAAATTTAGTGGAATTATATCTTGAACTATGATTTCCTTTTTTGGTTTTGTCAAATAAGACATTGTAACAACTTTTACTCCACTCTTGAAAATTTTGTACAATTAATACCACAAAAAAGAAAAAACAATTACTCCTGGTTCAGCAATAACAATAGAATGAACAGAGAGCAAAAAAAAAAATATTAAAATAATCAAACACTATATCTCAACAGTAATTATAACATCTTTAATCAGCCATGTAGTATCTTCCATATATAATTTAGAAGAGGGAAAATAAAAAGTACCCAACAACTGGTCCCCTAAGATCAGTTATCACTGACTTCATCTTCCATTGTCTTGATTTGTAACCGGCCACCAGGTATATATGGGCATTTGTCACAAACCCATGAACCCGGGTAACGTGGTGAACTGGTAGTGATGGGAGAAGGGGCAAGGAAACATACATACATATGCATGTACATAATTTTTTTTTAATGGTGGAGGTATGCATGACTACTATAGTAAAGTGTTGTGTATAATCATATTCTATGGTTGGAATCACGGCCTGGACAAATTTTAAAAAGATCAAAAGATACCTGAAAATAAAAGTTAAGGAATAAACACACTTAAGTTTGATAAATTTCCACAGCAAACGTAATTACATTTTTATTTTACTCCAAGCAAGGCAATAAAGCCACAAGAAGTCACTGAGTGTTAGAGAATATGAAAAAAATATACTATTAAAGGAGAGAAGATAACAATTGATCTTTAAAAATTTAAATGCAATGTCAAAGTTGACTGAAAGCAAGAAGTGCAATAAAACTGTTAGTATAGAACTTATGTTGAAATGGCTAGATGTAATTGTACATGACTGTAAAAACATTTGATCTCTATTTAAAAAATTTTTTTAAATCCATTTATTTAGCACTCATTAAGTATTGTAGTTTTAAAATTTTGTAAAATTGTAATTGCTACTTAATTTATGGCCTGATTTAAAAAAAAAAAAAATTGGAAAATTTAGATCTTTATACCCGTAAATAAATGGAGTATCAAAAGCACAATTTTTTTTTCAAGGACACTTATTTTAAAAAGTGATGATTAGAATTGTAAATGAAAGTGAATTTATAAATTTTTTTTTTTTTTTTTTTTTTTAAATTTACAAAATATTAAACACTAATTATTACATTATTCATTTACAACATTCTAAAAAAATACAATGCAATATTTATCAAGAAATAAATGAAAATTTTATTCATAAACATTTACTAAATTATTAAAATATGTGAGCCAATAAGGAAATCTTTACCATTTTATAAAGTTTGAATTAGCCAATGTTTTGTCAACTATTCCAATAAACAATCTAATAAATAGTTTGTTCTTGAGAATTGACAACAAAAATAAAGAAAATGTACAAATTCACTTTCTTCATGTTTACATTGTTAAAAATTCTAATTAGTGCTTTTTAAAAACAAACCTTGCTGAGGAATGAAGGTAGTTAAAATAGTGGTTTCAATGGAAAAGGTGTCCTCCTCACTTTTTTTTTTTTTTTGCAGGCAAGCTTTCCACAAAATTATATGAATCTGTGAAAACAGAATGGAGTGGTTTCCTTGTTTTTTTTGTAATCATATATATATATATACACACACACACACGATATTTCACCCAAAACAAGACTCAGTTGCAGTCAACAAAAAATGGGAAAAATGAATGAGGTGCGTGATAGTAAGGTGATAATGCCACCAAAATGCAAGGGACCACTAGAAATGAAAGAAGGAACCGGAATCCCAATCCTAAACAGAAAACAGGTGATAAACCTCTACTCCTGTTCAAAAGATTGAGGAGTATGAACTGGATGATAGGCATACCTATCTACTCCTATTGAACAGGTGGGGAATCAAAGCAACCATACTGGAGATGGTTCCTCAAAGTGGTAGTTCTTGGGGAAAAGCTTTTTGAAAATATAAGAAAGTTCAATTCAAACATGGAGAAAATGATTTTGAATTCAGAGTCGTCCTTATGTGGAGTGATTGTCCTATCAAAGATAAGTACCCAGTTTGCCCTGCTATTTCATACTTCAAAAGAGTAGATGGGTTCATCCTTTTTCCAATGGCATTAGTGTGAGGTAAATACAAAGATGGATTTGATTTCAAAATTGTTCTACCAAAAGTCTGCTCTTTTCTGTTAAATAGCAAGGCAAAGTATGGAATCGTGCCTTTCTCATAGTTTATGTTCACTTTGAAGTAATGACCATAAGTCAAAATTTTCAAGTCTAACATTTTGAAAAATGGAATCAGTTGGCAATCATCTATTGTAAACAATTTAATCAAATAGTTTTAAAAAAAATAAAATAAAATAAATAAATAATTAGTATGAACTGTCTTGCCTCAAGACCAACACTCACTTCCAAGTGAGTTATTACAAATTAGTGAGCAGATGACATCAGAGATTGAGCTATTGAGTCAGCCTAAGTTTGAAGTTTTTTTTATTTTGCTAATAAAAGATAGATAAGTACTAAATGATTAACTTATATTAATTTGGGTCACTAAATGTAATCATTAAAATAAATAAAAAGTCCTATAATAACCATTACATTTGTATGTACTTTATATACTGAATGTAACAATAGTTATGGGGGCAGAGGTATTTATGAAATAAATCTAACTTATGATATCGCTTGTACACAAACAATATCTCATAATAGCTTTGATCAGCAATTATATTAAATAAATTTTATACTTTCAGTTTGTCTTTGCTGAAAGTTAAAAGGATACATATGGACGCTTAAGTCCCCACCTCCTTCTGCCACAGTTTCTATAATCTTCTTCATAACTTCAGCATGCCTGAAAATAGAAATGAACATCAAATTTATAAGAATGAACAGTTTGAGGAGAGAAAGCTGTTAGATTTATAATCAAAATAGTATTTAAGGTATAGGCCATAGAACTCTGCTTGTAGTAGTAAGTCCCTTAATATTCAAGTAAATATTTATAATCACTAACATGGGAGCAAAGGAATGGAGTTTGACAGAATTCAAATCTCAGTGATTTGAGATATAAAACTAGGTACCTCTAAATATTCACTGAAAAAATGAGTATACATGATGAAAAAATGCCCTAAATTTAATAAAGATGTTGATGATAAATCTATGAGTTTTTTTTTTTTTTTGTTTTTTTTTTTTAGAACCTTAAAACTTGTTTTAATTGCATCAACAGTTGACCATAAATTAGTATGGGAAATGTTAGCATCTTTTTGCAATGCAAAACACACTGATGTGCAAATTCTTGCAAAGATCAGGTAATTATCAAATCTTAATGAAACTTTCAGGACTTATTCACAAATGAATTAAATTATTTTGGAAATGCCTGTTTTATAGAAAATCCTTCTAAAAAGGAAATTATTTTTTGTAGCACTTGATGTTTATATTATTTATAAGGATAACTCCTCAAAGAATATAAATCATGACAGTTTTTTTGCTTAAACAGGACACTCAGTTACAGAAAATCTGTTCTGAATCATAAAATAATAAATGCAATAACACTAAGACAATTGCTTTTATGTATAAAATATATTATGGACATTATTGTTTTGAGATTTTTTGGATGAATAAATTTTTACAAGAATTGTTTCATTTTATTTAAATTTTAATTAGAATAGTTTATAAACTTTTAAGATTCCCTTAATTTGTAGTGATCCAATGATATTGTAATTAAAACTGTATTTACTAATCATAAATGGAGAAAGTTCACTACAATTCAATGACCACAATTATTTTTAATAAAACTGTGTGTGTGTAAATAGGTTGATTTCTTTTTAATACAGATGTTCAAAACATGAAATTATAATAGTTACTGCCCTTATTTTTTTTTGATAAAGTTAAAATTTATTGGTAATTTTCTAACATTTCCTCAACAAGTGTCTTTTTGTAAGTTAAACTATAAAGCCAAAGTAACTAAAATTCAATAAAAATATAAGATTGCTTACATTTTAAAAGTTTTAAGATTACTGGGTAATTAAAAGAAATTATATAAAAAAAGTCTTTTCTGTTATATTCGTTAAGTATTTGTTACAGTTATGTCCCCCTTAGAAAAAAATTCTATAAGTCTGGTGAGAATGCTGTCATCATCTCATAAAAAGACCCACCTCCATGTTAAAAAAAAATTGCTTTTCTACAATATTTTAAACTAAAAGTACATAAATATTTGTCTCAAATCAGACTAATTAAACTTTAAATAAGAAACTTTTCTGTAACTATGAGTAAAGTTATTTTATTTTTGAAAGATTTTTTTAATAAACTAGAATTATGTTGACATTTGTCAATATGGCCGATTTTAGCGTTTTTACTGATAAAAAAAAAAAAAAAAAAATTCCAATCAATTTAAATTTGTTTTGAAATATTAAATTTAACTTATCAGCTTGAAAGCTTCCACAGTTTTCATTTTTAAACATGCATTTTAAAAATTAGGTATCAATTTTCTTTGAAGATATCTACATATAACAAAACATGTTCCAGTTTCTTCAAAGTTAGATGATGATCTGTATTTTCTAATAGATCTTTCATATGAATGTTTTAAAAAAAAAAAAAAAAGTAAATTAAACCTGTCTTCTCATTATTTTCTGCTTTGATCTTAATACTAGATGACATGAAAGACATTAGTACGTTCACTGATGCACATTTATTACAATACAATCAAATTTTTAAAAATTTGGAACTTTTCCTATAGCCTATGAGCACCTAAACAGAATGGCCAAAGAGTGAGCCACATGAAAGCTCATTTCAGCCCTTTGATGCAATTTTACCTGGAGGGTCTATTGTCAATGTTTCAATAAAGCAATAAGGTTTTCTACAGAAACACACCTAATAAAACATCTTGCTCAAAATTGTTTTCATATTCTTATTAAGCTCTCCAGATACATAAAAAAAATTAATTTTCTAAATTTTGAAGGGGAGGAGTTTGCTTGGTAAATTAATTATAAATTACCCCCCCCTCCCACAGACACACACAAACCAAATTCTTACATTTTTCTTATTTCCCTTTAAGTAATATAAATATTAACTTTTTTTTTTTTTTTTTTTAACATGAAATTATTTGAAATTTTGTCAATAAGAATATGCTTTATCACATGGTAAAAGCATGTTTGTTTCCTTTAATGTGTGTGGGTGGGGGGCATCAGTTTATCATGAATTTACATGCAAAACTGACCCCACTCTATTCGAACTTGGAAAATTAAAAAAATTTTTATAAATCTGGAGAGTATAATCAAAAGGATATAAAAAAATTTCTCAGAGAAATGCATTTCTGTAGAAAAGCTCACAGTCCTACAAATTTACTTTTAATTATATGTAATTAGCCAAATGTAATAATAAATATAATAAAATGAGAAAAAGAAATTCAAATTATTTAAACAACTGGTTTGTCAGGCAGTATATTTTAATTGTAAACAGTGGAAAATGAAATTAGACCTGCAAGGATGCACAGAAGCCATTGGAGGCCCAGGTAAGTGGGGGTGTGTTTCCATTGTTACAGTCTTTTTGGCATGGTCTTGACTAAAGTCTTCATACATCTGCTCAACTGTGAGAGGTTTCCGATTCTAGAACAGAGAAACAAAAATATACTTAAGTCTTTTCTAATATCATAAATTATTTAATTAAACATGCAAGAAAAACATTTTATTTTTAATTGTATCTGTCATTGTTATGGCTTCCAATTTTAGGAAGAAGAGTTGAATTCCTGAGACTTAGCCATAAAATAAAACTTGTATATTTAAAAAAATAAATTTCTTGAATGTGACTTAAAATTGTTTTACTTGAAAGAAAGTCTGTAAAACTTAATAACAATGAAAAGAAAAATACTTGCTTCATCATAGCCATACAGCCAAAGCCGAGGTGTTTGATAATATTTATCATAGGTTATATTCAAATCATAAGTACGGGTTTGCAAAACACCACTCTCACTTGATCCTCCATCAACCTCAGGTGCAGTTGTGTGAATTTCAACAGTAGCCTTAAAAAAAAAAAAAAAAAGTTGCATTACAGTTAAGAAACAGACACAGAGTGAATTGTATACTCATTGATCTCTTAAAAATGTGAAAGAAAGAAAACCCAAGTTAAAAATGAGACAATGAAATAAACAGTTCCTCTAAGTTAAAAAGTACTGTCTTCTTTAACAGGCTGAAAAACTAAAAGTAACCCAAAGTGATAACAATTACAGAATCCTGCACTATGACAGCTATTACCAAAAACAATTTTTTTTCTTAATGCTGGACTTATGGAAATCCAATTTTTAATCTATTTACATGAAAAGATAAATACCTGTCAAGATGAAACTTTTTTTTTTTTTTTTTACTACTAATGTTCACCCTATACAAGGGCCACTCAAGTTAGTGTTACTGAAAGCAGTTATTGCGTTAAGGTGTGCAGTTTATGTAGGAAAGATAATGGTTAGCCCTAGACTTCAAGGAGTTAACATTGTTGTGATCAGGAAAGCATCCTCCTGGTATTCTGTTCTATGAAGCAACGGTTCTTGGGAAGAAGCTTTACAAGTGGAACTTGCTCCTTACTACACTCTATAGTCACAAATTGAAACTGCTTTTCAAATATACTTTTCAGTCGACATAAAGAAAATCTTATATCAACTTGAAAAATGTTTCACTTTTATTTAAGCTTTAAGTAGACAAAAATAAAAAAAATACCAAAGTATTCTTTTCTACTCTATATTTAATTTCTAATGAAGCTAAAAGTTTCCTATTTGTTTCTTATCCTATCATTGTCGGATTCCAATCCAAGGGACATAAATAAAAATGAGAGTTAGTTCCCTTACCTTAATTTTTCCGTCCGATTTTTAAGCTCTGACGAAAAATATATTATTGTATAAGGTAGCCACTAAAAATTTTGAAATAGTCATAACTTGTTCGTTTTCATTCTTTTTTATTTTATTTTATTTTTTTTTTTTGCAGGTTATAGATCATCCCTTGGAGATTAAAATGGCTATGCATGATATCAAGCAACAAGTAAAACTCATTCATTTCAGTGAAAAATCAATTATTCAAACTGAGAAAATACAGGCAACATTTTAATGTCAGAGTATCTCCTAACAATAACATGATTCGGAAACTAATCGCCCAGTTCGAAAGAAATTTCTGATTTTCCGGTAAGAGGTGCACACTGACACAGCAGTAGACCTTGAGGCTCCATCAGCTTCTACTTCTCATCGCTCTGCTCAAATAGGCACCACCAGAACATCGCTTCAGATAATTCCGAAACTGGATTTAAAAATGTTTCCATACAAGATTCAAACGGTCCAAACTTTACTACTTCAAGTACTCATGTGTTTTTAAGTTATTTTTGTTTTATATCATTCACTCTTTCAGTGTCCAACCTGTATAAAAAACACTTAGTTTTTTTAAATCTACCGTTACGATTTCTCAAAATAATTTTTATGCTCCAAAGTTTTTTATTTATTGTATCGGCCTTTCATGATTACTATACACTCCAGTTATTTGTTATCCCCCAACACCCCAAGAAAACATTTCTTCCAGAAAACTGATAATAACTGGCCACTTTCTGAGTATTATATTCAAAAGGAGCATTTTTTTTTTTTTTTCTTCGACACTCGGAGGTTTCACTCGTATACAGCCAAAGAAATTATAATTAACATTCAATAATTATCTCCCTTTAAAAAAAAAAAATCGATTTTCGCTTCCCCATTGTCTGTTAAGCATGTAGACATGATATAATTATTTACATAAGGTTTTAAGTTACTCCGTTTTATGTGTATATAAATATCTCTGGCAACTTTGAGGTTATATACAAAATACAGAGCTTATTTTATAAATTATTTTTTAACATAAAATAATTCTGCTTATGGAAACATACTTCATTTCATGATAACAGAAAATTTGTAAAGTTTCTCAAAACATTTCTGCAGCAAAATTTAAAACTGATTTTTTTCCCTCAAGTTTTCAACTTGCCATCTTAAATAGTTGTTACTTGTTTTCACAACAGTATGCTATCAAATAAAAAAAACCCAAAAAACTTCTTAATTTAATGAAAAGGAACTAGTGGTTTTAAGAACATCAAATCAATTGAACAGAACAAATTTAAACAAGGTGTAAAGAACATGCCAAAAATGAATAACTCAGCTACTCATAAGAAAAAAAAAAAAAAAATTACATTATCTTGTTCTTCCAACATTCCACTCTGCTCAAAAGCTTCCATATCTTCTGCTTCTTCATCATCGTCATCATCGTCGTCGTCATCTGCTATCCCAGCACCAGGAAGAGGAGCTCTGTTAGCATCCTAAATAAACAAAATTATGTAATAATTGTAATTAACTAAATTAGTCAATTACACCAATAGCAATTATAGAGACAGAAGGATAATAAACAAATTGTGAAATAAAATAAAAACTGGTAATTAAACTTATTTAAAGAATAGCCTCATGCAGCATCTATTCTATAAAATATGGAATGTGAATGGGTTCAACAGAAAAAAGGAAATTATGATTATTTGATGGCATATAGGACAGACTGCCTCCCATAAACCTCCCACCCGTCATTTATATCATGAACAACTTGAACAATCAATAAAAATATAAGCATGGTAGTTGAAAGGAATTTTATCCAATTAAATAAAGATTATAAAGTAAGGATTTACTTGCCTGTGGATCCAAATTCATATCAGCAATAGCTTCTGACACAGAAGTTACTGTTGAGTCTTTATAAAAAGAAAGATAAAAATAAGTTCACCTTTTGGCTAATTGTGAATTTTTATAAAGGAAGTTTAATTTTTCTAAGTAAAAATAACAGAAATATTGAGTGCCTGATGGAGTGAATTTGTTTTTAAGTTCATCTTGTGGATTAATTCTTTAATGTAGAGTTGGCCTTGTGCCAGACGAAGCAAAGCTAACTAATTTATAATAGAAATGTTCTTTGGGAGGAATTATTACCAACAATATACATTCCAAGAATGAGTGTGTATAGCTATTTACAGGAAGGAATTTAACAAAACTGTTTATTATAAGAAAATTAACTAATAACTGTTTTTTCTTTAAATGAAAATCAAATTAAATTAAAAGAATAAAAATAATGAAGGTATCAAGAAAATGTGTTTGCATCCTTAGGATTTTTTTTCTTTTTTTTAATAAACAATAGAATGAATGAACAACAGTTTGCAATGGTTTTTTTAAACCAGCTGTTATGTATAAGCAGCCGAGATGAATCATACTTAAAAAGAAAAAATTAATTCTACATGTAAATAAATACTTATAGATCATATATCCATCTATATTTCTGAGATGAGGTATTATGTACATTATTCAGACTATTGTCCTCATCTTTGTTGCCATATTTATTACAACGTTTCGGCCGTTGTACGCTCCGGCCTTCTTCAGGTGGTTGGAATGTCAAACTGAACCCTTTATTTCGCTCACTGGAGCGTACAATGGCCGAAACGTCGTAATAAATATGGTAACAAAGATGAGGACAATAGTCCACATAATGTATAGATCATATACTTTACAATTTAAAAGGACATTTTCATTATTATATAATATACATGTCTGCTTGTTAGACTTCTGAGGTAAAGATATATTTTGATAAATTCTTAGTCACTTTATTCTCAAAGAAAGAAAAATTTAACAGCTGCAGAAACTTATAAGAATATAAACATTTTAAATAAGTGGAAGTGCATAAGAATAAGAGACAAATGTGTAATAATGTGCAGCTTCTCTTTTAATTACAACAGATAATACAAGTGGCATGGCTTCTTAAAATATGCTGGAGTCATTGTGCAGTTATATCTAACCTGGGCTGTCAATTAATTGAGTTGTTTTTAATGGAGGTAGCCACAGAAAAGTTAATGAGATCACCATGTCCTATACATGCTCAATAGAATTTAAATCAAGCAAACACAGGAACAAACACTCACACATAATAACAAAGCTGTGTTCACTTTATGGAACAAACCATGACTTAAAGGAATGTGATAAGCATAATTAAGGTTCCCAAAACATTTGTTGCCACAGAGGCCTTTAGCAGAATAAATGCTAAATTGGTCATGCATCTCACATCACAGGATCTTCTTTCAGATAAGCAATACAGCTTTCATTTCTCTAGTTCAACTGCTGATGCTTTAACAATTATTGCTAAAAGAGTCTATCAAACTTTAAATAAGAATGGTAAAGCTCGGTGTCATTGCTTTGGACATCTCAAAGGCATTTGACATGGTTTAGTATGATGTTCTTCTTTGCAAGAAAAAAAGTTATAGTATTTTTGGACAATTCTTGAATCTTATGCATTATTTCTTATTAAATTGTGAAATGAAATTTGTCCTGAATGGCTACTCTTCTAGGTCTTTCTACAGTAATGAAGGTGTCCTTCAGGGCTCTATCCTTGGACTTATGATGTCCCTAATTTTCACCAATGACCTTGATATCACCAGTTCTCAATTTGCTATCTATGCTGATGATCCAACTATTTACTCCTACCTTAATAGGAAGTTCAATAAGGTCAAATTAGCAGCTGATCTGAAAAATGACCTACAATATGCTGCTAACTGCAATAAGGAATGGTTTGTTAATTTTAACACTTCCAAAATGAAACTGTTCTCTATCATTTATCCGAGACCCCATTTAGCATGGCTGATGCTAACCACCAGGAGAGTGACTCATTGTGCCTTCTCAGGCTAATGTTTTCTGCTGATATGAAGGTAGAAAGATTATATTGAATCAATTGCTAGACCTGCTGCTAGGGAAGTTGGCTCACTATGTTGTACTAGACAATTTTTCTCTCCAGAATTTCTTATAAATTGATAGGTTTATGCATTGAATATTGTTGCCACATCTGGTCTGGTGCTCCTGTTATACATTTAGAGATTCTTGATAAAATCCAAAGAAGAATCTTCAATGTTATTTGGTCCTAACCTGACATATCACCCTCAGTCACTTTTCCATCGTTTGTAATCCCTGAGCCTTTTCTATAAATACTTTCATGGGAATTGTTCTGACAAACTTTCCTCTATGATACCTAGACTTTATGAAATTAAGCACAGTACTAAATTGGTAGCAAGATCTCATCATTTTACAGTTGAAATGGCCAGATGTAACAGTAGGTTTTATGCTAACAATTTTTTCGATTACACTTATTGCCTGTGAAAATTTCTAGCTTTTCAGTCAATTTTGATTTTCAAAAATTTAAATATAATATCGATCATTATTTTCTCTCTTCATTCTTGTTCATTTATTATTCTATCTCCTTAATAGTATTTTTTTTTCTTATACTCTAACACTCAGTCACCCCTTGTGTCTTAGTGATTTTATTGCCTTGTTTGGAAAAAAAAAATGGTTTTATATATTCCCAAAAGACACCGACTACTGTTGCCCCACTCCCAAAACCAGTTGTCACTTCAGAAAGATCTTCCTCATCTTCCTAGCTCCAACAACATTTTGCACTCAAATGATTGTCACAGCTACACAACCACTTTACTTATTAGGTTGCATATACCGAGTCCATTTCTACAAGTAGAAGAGGATGAAACAATCCCATTTACTAAGGTTTCTAATTTTTTGGCACAATCTTTACATCTCATAGTTATTAACTACGATAAATATACAACATTTCTAATTTATGGAAACACAATGTGCAAAACTGGTATAAGCATTTCCAGTTGTAAGGATGCAGAGGTAGTATAATGGTTATTGGTGTGAAAAGTGAAAATGGTGAACAGAGTTCAAATTCTGATTTGGTCTGTTATGTTCACATCCATACTAATACCATTGGGAAAGGCTGGAACCAATCTTCCTCCACCCCTGATATGGCTTAAATAGCAGGCTAGACTGGACTTTCTAGCCTTGGGTGACAACTAGTTTAAGAGAAGAATTACTTTGAATTAAAAAAAACCCTGAAAAGACAAAAAGGAAAACTCTCCATTATCTTTCCCTAGAAGTCCTGACAATTCACAAAGAAAAAGTAATCTAGAGAAACATGATCACTTATTAAGAAACATGGCATTTAAAAAAAAAAAAAAAAAAAAAAAAAAAAAAAAAATCAAAATCCATGATAGCTTAAGTCAAGAATGGTTAGTAAGAATTTCAGTTGTATAATGCATAGGTTCAAATAAAGAAATTTTATATCAAAAGGTTAACACTCTTGAAATTAACAGAATCCTTGCCATATTACCTGCGTAATGATGAGTATCCACCCAGCCACCATCATCATCATCTTCATCCAGAACTTTCTCTATTTCATCTGAATGATTATCTACTTGCTTCACTCGTTTGTAGCAGGGAACTGGAATAACAGAAACAAATGAGTAATAGCAATAATAAAAAAGTGTGTGTGTGTGTGTGTGTGTGTGTGTGTGTGTGTATATGATAAAATATAGTTTCATGATATGCTATATTTATGGGCTAAAGTGGTCAATATCAGGGATAGAGCATATGTAAATATAAAAGTGGACACTGAAGTTAACACACAGAGGTGGCAGTCTGTTTCATGCTAAATGCACATGGCCTGATGATTGTTGCCACTGGGTGTAGACTTCAATGTTCACTTATAAGTTTTACCTAAGATAGAGGCAGGTGGTTGACCACTTAAAAATGAGAGCACTGTGGCAATTTTTTTAGCATTTGCAAAATGTAAAATCTTTAAAAAAATTGATAAAAATAAACAAAAAGTTCTAAAATCAAGTATTTTTATTCACAAATAACAGATTATGATGCTGAGAATTATTAGCAATGATACATTGCAGTGGAACATTTTCAAAAAAGAAATCAAACCTTACAACATTATCTTAAAATATGTTGTGGAAAAAAATGAGATTGTTGCCTTACTGAATAAAAATATAAACCTTTTCAGCATAAAAACAAAACAACTATTGAAACAAAAAGTATGTACAGTAAATGTCAAAACAATCCTTTACTTTCCAACATGAATATTAATTAGTAATTTCTTATGGATAAAAATATTTTCAGGACTAATTTTTGTTGCCTAACATTCAGAATTTCCTCTACTCAAGCAATTTGTCAGAATCAAAAAAACATTAATTATTGGGGGGGGGGGGCTGTTTACAATATAAATATGTCAAATTGATCCTTGACTTTTTGACATGTAGTTTTCTTTCCTTTTTGAGTAGACCAGTGTATTTAAGTATTGCTACTTTAAAATGAAATGTGTAATTTAATTACTATGTAATGTGTGTGTATTTATTTCATTTCTGGTAGATATAAATGTTCCAAGATTGAAATAAACTTGTAACATTTCCTTTCATCTACGTCTTTTTGAAAATACATCTGCATAGGACTAGTCAAATTTTTTCTTTGAAAATCCCCACAACCACCTTATTAAGAAAAACGTAACATTTTTCATTCTTAATTTTCTAAGAGAAAAAAAAATTTTTTATTTTGAAGTTGAAGGCAAAAATTGTGGACATGGCTTGTTTTTTAATGGCACCACCCTGTGTGTGTGTATGTGTGTGAGAGAGATTAAAATATATATATTTTAGACATATTGAGATGGCCAAAGATGCATTCCAAAAGCTAGGCAGAGTACTAAAAGACAGGAGGATTTCATTGGTAACAAAGAGAAGAGTACTGAACTGCCACATGATATCTATCCTCCTTTACAACAAATGTTAGACAGTCTCCTCAAAGAAGAGACTCGAGGCAACAGAGGTATGGTTCTACAGAAGGATACCATGGACCAAATAATGATGAGTTTTTGGAGAGGAGGAAGCTTATACTTAACATCAGGAAGCAGCAGGTAAAATTTCTGGGGCACATAATGAGAAAGGAGGGCTTGGAGAATCTGATACTGACAGGGCAGATAGAAGGAAAGAAAGACAAGGGAAATCAATGTGTGACATACCTAGTGGGCTTAAGCAAGTGAATGACAGAATAAGGTTTGGGAGAAGTGGTAAAAAGACAAAATATCAAAAACTACAAGAGATAGTGGGAAGTGGAAAGCCATGATTGCACGAAGGTTGCATGAAGGAACACGACACATGAAAGTAATAATAGTTTGAATTATGGTAGCTTTTTCTGGCTTTTGGACAAAACTGAATAATGCTTCATTTCAATTAGAAATAAATTTTTATATTATAGAATATATATACAAAAATAATTCATTACAGCATTTTGTATAAAATCTACATGAATAATTATTGTCCATTGCTTCAAACATCATGAAGTAGAGTATGGCAAAAAAATAAATGTCACACCATTTGCAATAGAAAGAAATCAAATTGATTTACATCTCATTAAAAAAAAAAAAAAAAAAAAAAAGAAAGTATTTTATACAAATTTGTCAGACTTTGTCAATTTTGGTATTTGCGGAACAAGTTTAGTATCAATGACTACAAAGACAGTACATTAGTAAGCATGTTAACATGACCATAACTTAAATAAGCATCAGAGAACTAAAAGTTATAAATAAAAGAAACTAACAACTTACCATTTCGTGTGATGAGAAATTGTTTGTCTTTGGGTAAATAAGGTTTGTGTTTTGAATCATCACCAGAGGACCATTGCCAGGTGGGACAGTGATGCACTAAATGATCCCCAGCCGCAACAAACTGTAACAGAAACACTTATTCAAACACAAAGAATCCATTTCCATTCACATATACACAAAAATATGCTTACTAACACAGACAGTTCCTACATTTTTAGTTATTACCAGATCTATCAAGAAGAAAAAGAAAGGAAAAAAAAAAGCAGAGGCTCGACTCCCATTTTCTGAGTCCACAGTCTTGCAGGAAGATAAGTTTTAATAAAACAGTTGACTAAATGGAATTGATAAACATGTACAGTGCTGATAATTATGGCAGTAAAGAATGAATTTGAAGAAAGCCTAAGAATAACAACTAATAAGTTAAATCTTACATATTACTGTGCAATAAGTAATTATATTCAACCTAATTACAATAGTTCAATTATAGTGATCAGATTGTTCAATGAGGTCTGAGGTGTATTTGTCAAAATATCATCACTGTTTTAGTTAATTAGACTTACTCCATTTAGTCAAGTTTTATTCAAGTTATCTTCTACTCAGAACTGTGTTCCCATTAAATGGTAGTAAGACAGAAAAAAAAAGGTATTAAGACAATATCTACAACACAAAATCATTCAAATATTAATATATGCAACCTATCTTCAAGTAATATGAAAACGTTTATAATCTAATCTACCCAAAAGAAGGTTTAGTATTGTGACACTATTATGGTAATTGGCTAACTAATTAAGCATAGAAATTAAAAAATGAGAAATACTTAATGCGAGAAATAGCTATAACGAAAGACAGACCGAGCAATATTTTTTTTTTTTTTTAACACAAAGAAAAAATGAATGGGAAAAGATTTTATTTCATTTACGAGGAAAGATACTTTTTTTTCGCAGAAGACAGAAAATCCGTAAGAGAAAACCAGATTTCGGATTCTGTCAGAATTAATTAATGTCATGATCAGATAGTGACCAGACAAGGAAAACAGAATTCTAAAAGATAAACAAAGCTGGGCCACGCATGGGACTGAAAAGGAATTTCAGTGAGACCGCCCTAAAAGAATAGCCACTAATTATCTTTCAGAGATATCATTTAGTTTTGGTTCTTGTATCCAGCGAGGAGACCCATCTGTTGTATGTCCGGCTCTTGACATGAGAAAAGAGAGTCGATAAGGGGATCATTGTTATTATCAGACATGGTGACTCAAAAATGAGCATCTGGTGCCACGAAAATTTTAAGACACGAGAAAAATAAAGAATTTGTTTATCAAGTAAAAACTACCTACCAGTTTGAAGGTTGACTAGCAGTGATTAATGAGTCAGTGGAGATTCTGCTAAGTGGATTTTGGGTGGCTCAGGATAAGATAAAAATTTAATTATGGCCACGTAGAATTCATAAGAATTCTGGCCAATAGAAAAGAAGGAAAAAAAAAGAGATTTTTTTTTTTGGGATGATAATTTTAAGAAGGCCAAGTCTAGCCACAACCACGCTGCCGAGCGATCATTGGCCAAGTGGTGGTGTGAGTGATAGGCGAAGGTGAACATATGAGAAAGACAGGGGAGTTGTTGACACCCATTAAGAGGATTGGTATGATATACCAATATGAGAAAGGAAGAGTCTAGGAGGATAACTCTCCTCACGGACGAGGGAGAAAACCCCCGAGGGGGAAAGTGATTAGCTTCCAAAAATGGAAAGTAATAAATTTTCCTGTCCTGGGGGCAAAGAAAATTTTTGTTGGGAATTGAGACGTGTCAAAGAACCCAAACCACAACAGGCCCCAACCCGGTTTCGGTCAGTGTCCATATAAACGAACGTCCCGGGCATTCAGAGTTGAGTTGGGTTGGAGATCGGAGATTTATTTCAAATATAATGAAAAAATCCAGAAGTCAAAATTGCTCTATGGACACAGTTTATCAACATATTCCATATTTAATTCATACATTTCAAATGTGCTTAAATTCTAGTAGGAAATATTTAATTTTTTATCTTTCAATGATATGTAGTTATGAAAGTAGACTCAAGGCAATATTTTATAGTTTTTAAATGTATCCTGCATGTCATTAAATACAGTAATATATAATATGATTAATTTCCAAAGTTTTGTAGTCAATGTTAGTTGTACCTTTGGTTATCTTGCAGAATAATTTTGCAGGATGTGAATATGAAATCAGTTAGTAAATAAATAGTATAAAAACAAGGAAAACATGAATGAAAATAATATTTATAAAGAGAGACTATCCTATTAAACCCATTACTAGGACAGTACCAGCCAAAAATGACATTTAATATTTACATTTTACAATCTTTCCAAAGGGAAAACTTTTTTATATATGCTGTATTCTTTTGATGATTTTTTTACATGATAATGTCTCCCTACAACTTCTTGTCCTTTGCAGCCCATTTCTCTTGTTGCTATATTTCCAAATCCATGTTCTGCCAAACTTGTTAGGTAGGTTGTGCACCATTTTCCTCTGACCCTCTTGCCTTCAGTATGTCCTATGAGTGTCAAATTTTCCAAGCCCCTTTTTTATATGCTCTTTAAATTTAAATGGTCTCTTACTGATGTTATGTATCAGTTATGTGTCATGTGTGATGAGGCAGATTTTTTCAAACAGTAAGTTGCCATTTCTTTCTGTTGTATACCAGTTGCCATCCAAAGCTATAGAACCCAGTCTGTCCTGCTATTTATGCATAGCTGGTGAGAGAAGAACAGGATTCATACTTTTCCCAACGGTATTATAGGTGTTCTTTTGTTTCCATTTTCTCTAAAACTGTCGTTGCTTAATGTCAGTCCATGGTATTCTTAGTATACATCTACCTGATCCACACAAGAACAAAATCACTTTAAATTGTATAACTATAAATCTGTTTTAAATAGGTATATATTTAATCTAAAGTACTAGTATTTTCTTTCTTTTCTCTTTATTTTAGATGACATTCCAAGTAGTCATCAAAGTGAATAATGTTAAATTCAATAAGTGCAAGTACAAACCGAATTGTGGGCATTTTCTATCTTCTTCATGACGGAAATAATCATGGCTCTCCGACTTCCTGTCTTTTGTTGCTATAACTAAATTTTGACTCCTTACCATCACTTTGTTGAGCCACCCATTCACAAAAACTCATTAAATAGGTTACTTGCTGTTTCCTCCAGCTTCTCTAGCCTTCAATATGCCCTATGAGTGTTAAATTCTCTAAGCTCTGTTTCTTCATTATGTCTCAGAAAATTCAACTCTTCTCTTTCTGATTGTAAATATAAGTTTCCTTGTACTTATTTTCTGTAAAACTTCTTTGTTGTTGACATGTTCTGTCCATGGTATTCTCAGCAATTGTTGATAGAACCACATCTTTGTTGCTTCCAAGTGTCTTCATCTTTGAGAAAATTGTCCAGCATTCACTGCCATATCAGAAATTAGATACTACATTCAGTCCAGTACTCCTTTCTTTGTTTCTTGGGAAATTTCCCCCATCTCTTAATACTTTACTTAGTTTCTAGGTAGTACAATTAACTATTCCTATGTACTTTCAGATAAAGCTTAAAAATTAGGGGTGTATATCAGAACTAAATATTGATTTTTTTTTGGGGGGGGGGGTCACATGCACCACCATATATAGAGAAAGTATGACCAGAACTTATATTAGTTCCAACTAATGTATAACAGAACCACTTTTATGTGCCATGTTCTGTCAGAAGGTGGATTGATCTGTAACAGAGAGAGGTTGACGCACATGAATGCACACACGCAAATATAACGTTTATTGATTGAAGATGGAAAACACGATCTTCCGTGAAAGTTACAAACTGTGTCAGCACTATTAACAGGAAAGAATCTAGAACAATGATATATGAAACCTGAGACGGCTGATGGATAAAGAATAAATTTCAAATCAGGTTGGTGAGGACTCGTTTATAAACAAATGCAAAATGACAGGAGACGATGTTTAATTTGGGTCATTAAAAAAAATAAACGAAAATAATATTTTTGATAAAAACATATTGAAGTAAATTGGACCGGGGAGGTAAGATCAGTGTATGTTTACCGCTAGCGAAATCTGATCTAAACATAAGTTGTATCCGCTGAATTTGGTCATTGAAAAGACAATTGAAATGAACATTGAACTAATTAATTTTATCCACTAAGAGATTTGAAATAGATCTGAATTTAAACTTTGCTTATGCCGACACTCGTGTTAAGCGCATGAACAACCTGACTTATAACCTTCAGTTTGCTATATAAACACGAGTTTTGCTGAGTTGGGGAGACATGGGCGTTAGACAAGAGTGACGTTGAGAGAGAGAGAGACTGTCGTTGCAGTGAGTCGGTCCAGTGGCCAGTCAGAAAGAAGGACTTCAAGAAATATCATCGTTGTAGCAGTTGCATTGAAAAGTCACTGAAACTTAACGTTTGTCACTTATGACAACCAACTGAAAAGCTACACTTCCACGTAGGGCTGGAATTACAAGTCACATATCCTCCCAAATTGATTTGGAACGAGTTAATCACACACACACACCTCTCTCTGTTGGTATAATTGGTAGAGGAGTGATCCTCTGTTCTTATGTTAATTGCTTTTCTATCTTTTCTGTAAACTCTTTCTACTGTTGTTGTTTTCTTATATAAAAGACATCAATATTTTACCCATTGTTGTTCGGCTTCTGCAGATATTATTTCCTCGTTTACCACATTCTAATTTTCCTGCCGCCCACCATCACAGCCGTGCCTACATTCCCAATTGACCGTGAACGTATGGACAACACCCCGCTTACTGGATCTAAAAACTAACACGTGGGCAGCAGGCGGAACTTGGCCAGTGACTGGTCAAACAATCTACAGGTATTTAGGGAGTGTGCGGCCAGCTACCCCTGAGTTCGGTTGAGACCGAGTGGGCGCCTCAACCTCTTTCGGTTGAGGGCTGAAGGGACGAGTGGTAGAGATCATGGCTCTCCATAACTTCCTGTATTTTGTTGTTCTAAGTAATTTTTGAACCCTTTAACAGTATTTTTTTTTGTCATCCATTCACTCAAATTTGGTAAATAGGTTTCCCATCCTTCTTTTGCTTCCAATATCTCCTGCAAGTATTAAATTCTTTAGTCCATCTTCTAGGTGTCCAAAAAAAATTTCAACCTTTTTCATTCTGATTGTAAGTATACATTTTCTTGAACTTATTTTCAATAAAACTTCTTTGTTGTTCACATGTTCTGTCAATGGTATTTTCAGCATTTGTTGACAGAACCACCTCTGTTGCTTTGAATCTTCATCTGTGAGAAAATTGCCAATATTCACTGACACATCTGCACTTGTCTTGGTTTCAAAAATATTTCCTTATTTCTTGATACTTTGCTTACTTTGTAGAAGGCATCTTTCACTATTCCTGTCCATCTTTGGATTTCCAGGTCACATTCTGTCTGTAAATACACTACCCAGATAGTTAAATTTTTATACTTCCTCCATCAAAGAACTTTTAAATTGCTTTAAGATGGATAACAAATATTTCAACAATCTTTGAAAATATCTCATTTTAACAATTCTGCTATAAAGAAAAGTATAAATTTGAAAACTCACTTCCTCAGGTGTCACAACGCCAGTTTCTTTAAATTTTGATTCCTACAAAAAGAAGAGAAATATCTAATTATAAATCATTACAAGAGTTATTCAAACAATTGAACTTATTTACATAATTTACAGTCAGACTAATGTCCTCATCTTTGTTGTTATTATCACAAAGTTTCATGTGGTGTCTGTTGATGAAGGTAACATTCAGTCAGGCAATTTATTGTTCTAATTCTGCTGAACATGTCTACATATCTCTTATTTTTGGAGGGGGGGTAAATGCTGCTCATTTATTGATGTTACCATTGAATCTGAGTGTACTAAACACAGGATTTGAATTCACAACTATAGTGATTCCAAAGTTTAAGCAATTAATGAATTTTTTTTAAATCCAAGATTATTTTGTATTGCTATGAATTGCTACTACATGTATTTGAACAGACATCCCTATCTTGTGTGTGTTATATATATATATATATATGAAAGTTTTTAGTACAATTAAAAAAAAAAATTAGTTTAGAGATGCATAACAGCAAAGTAAGTAAAATTATCTTAACCTATCATATTTGATAGAGTCAACTTTTCCCCTAACAGAAAATTAGTTAAAAAACAACCTCCCTCCAAAATGATGTTTACATAACACTAATATTAAACGTAATTTTAACTTTTTCAATTTCAGAGATGCGTCACTTACAAATATCACTTTTCATTATATATTAACTTAATACCAATCAAAAATGGAATTATTTGCATATAGACCAGTGTTTCTGCCTCAAATCAAATTATCTGTATACTCTGTCTAGAATCAAAATGTTACCCCTAATCCTGTGCCTAGAATCTAAGTGTGGTATTGGTGTATTGTGAAAATATGAATTCACATTATGATTTACACACATGGATAACAAAAAATGTTAAAATCACTAAAATTATTTCAAGATTTTGTTGCACACTCACATAATCTGCAATTTAAAAAAAAAAACAAAATTGTATTTACCATAAAAAAGCCTAAAGCCTACTGCTTTGATGTATAAAGAGAAAATAAAAGTTCTATAGTGAGAGTGGTATCTGTCCATTTTTGTAGCAGTGAAGTTTTGTTAAATGTTTTTTCCTACTTTAGCATTAATTTCAAATTCCTTTTATAAAAACATAACAGAATCAGTGCTGTTATTTTTGACAACTTATTTTTAAAAATTCCACCCAAATAAATTGTATTTTATTCAGTATTAAAAAAAAAAAAAAAAAAAAAAAGGCACTAAAAATTAAAAATTTTCTAAGGCTTAAGAGAAAGACCTCTGACCAATAGTGAAAAACCAATATTAAATAATCACTTGGATCACTGTACAAAATATTTTTAAAATTATGATAAAGTTACCTAAAATGTTTTAATTGATTTATTTTTATTACAGCGTTTATTTTCTAGACAACCACCATTTGACTTCTTTAATCACATGAGAGGTCATTTATTAGTTTAAAATGTCTGCCTTGCTAAAAACAGTGATGCTAAGAAAAAAAAACAAAAAATCTTTTCTAGCTATTTTCATCCTTTTACAAAAGCATTAGTCACACTTTTCACACAAATTTATGATAACACTACCAGTGATTTTGCTTATCACTTATGATCATTAGATGAAATATATACATAATTGGATTTGATATGTATGCTATACACTAGCATGTAAAGAAATAAACTTGTGTCACAAGTGCAACCTAATTACCTAATTTAACCATCATAAGCTTAATTTATATATGTAGATAGAGAGATGGATGATGTCATCTTGAGAGAGTTGAAATTGATTCCATTAAATGTGAGAATACCAGAATTAAAAAAAACAGTTGTGTAAGTACACAAAGAACAGTGCTTGAAGATGAACGGTGTATCATTCAAAAGTATTTGGGAAGAAAAAAAAATTTTAAAAAATAAAAAATATAAAAAAGTTAATATGAATTTTGGCAAATTTACCAACAAAACAAAACCTATTTGGAAATTTGAATGATTTAATAAAAAATTGATAGACAAAACTTGTCTATATTATTTAATAAAACATGTTTGAGAAAATTCTTGCTGTCAAAATACACCTGTGCGTGTGTGTGTGTGTGTCTCTCTAATCACCCCCCTTTCCTTGGGCTGAGTTAAGTGTTTAAGTCCCTCAGTCCATTTCTATATGATCATCTAAATCTGATGAAAACACAATTTTTATTAAGCTTCTAAAAAGCAACATCATATTTCCTCTTTGCTGTTCCTGTTTGATTATGAGTAACATTTTCCAACACCTTAACTATTTAAAAATAAAAGTTCTATGGTCAAATACTGCATGTGGTAAGTAAATTCAACCCTTATTGAAAGGTTTGGTATAGAATCATTAGCTGATGCCAAAGCAGATTTATGTTGTTTGAATTAAAGGATACTCATCATCGATATTTTTTTTTTTTTACTGTTGCTTTTTATTCAGCACATTTGAAGTTGGTAATGCCTCTGAGTGTTAAAGTAAGTAAAGTGAAATAGGAATTAAAAAAAAAAAAAAAAAAAAAATATTAAAATGAAGTTTGAATTCACATCTTTGACTATATCTCAGGAGATATAGTCGAAGATGTAACCAAAATGGTTAGACTACAGTTAGGTAACAGACAATACGATAGAAAGAATCAAAAAGAAAGATGTAATATGATTATAAATTTGAACTTTTTCTACCTTTAGGTTTCTAGGGCAAAACTGGTTTAATGAGTTCCAGACGTAGGGAATGCTAGTTCAAGTTTTATCAGAAGCTACATTATTCTGATTTCATGCTCCTTACTTTAACAGTTGAATGGTATATAGACTGAGTATATTGTGATAAAAAAAGTTGTGTGTGTATAATGTATTTGATGTATCTTATATAAGCATATTAAGAACACTATGCCCATTGTAGATATACAAGCAGATATATGTGTATCCATAAATTGAGATCAAACATTAACTTTTTAGATATTGCTTTCCTCCTTAAAAATTACTTATAGAAAATATTTTACATGATCATCATGTCAATTTTTGTTAAACACTCCCTTTTTCTCTAGTTTGTAATAAAATAACTAAGTGTCTATGGAGGGTCAATTAAGACTTCAATAGTATTAATATTTATACAAACTAAAGTGATTATCTCACCTTATTATATTCAAGTTGAATAAATACGGGGTGCGATGGGTAAATTGTCGCCATTTTATATTTTTAATTTTGTGCATGTGCATTTTCTTTTTGTCAACTGCACAGTATAGTACGGTCATTTGGGAACTGTCTGTGAGAAACATGACAACTCACTCAGTCAGAAATTTGGAAATGACATACTGTACTGTTAATTTTGATTATTTGGTCACCAAAATCTTAAAAATTTCAGCCAAATTTAAAAATATAATTATTACTACTATATATCATTATTAATGACTGAGATGGTCAAGAGTACCAGAACAAAATCATGAACTTTGGACAGTTTGTCCACAATTTGGATTTGAATGTACAACTTATAAGAAAATTGAAAAAATAATTTGAAAATTAGATTATGTCAGTCAAATTTAATAAAACCTGTTTAAAAGAATTTGTGTGTATATTTATATATATATATATATATATATATATATATATATATATATATATATATATATATATATAATATATATATATAATTTTAAAGACAGGAATCAATTTTATTAAAATAAGATACAAAAGCATCACATTTTCAGATTTGAGGTGCCTTTCAGCTGACACTTCTTCAAAAATAAAATCATCGGCAATATAAAATGAAGTAATTGATAAGAAAAACTTAACCAACAACTGATATTAAGATATAAATTATCAAGCTGGAGGAGGGAAGTGGTGGGAGGATACTAATTTTCTTCCGTTAGGCAACTGTTTTTCCATAATAGGGTCAACTTATTTTTCAACATTCATTATCTACACAGGGCAGGACATTGCATATTAATAACAGACTCCAGGATGTCTAAATAGAGTCTGGTACATGCCCTATGCAAGACAAAACTCGGGAGAATAATTCATCCTGCAAGCAACAGAATTTAAAAGGTGCTCACTGATTGCGGAGTAATGAGTCTGTGAACGCCCAGATGTCACAAGCTTGTGTCTATGCACCTGGCCTGGGACATGCTGGGTGATCCTAACCTCCAACCTCTGGATAGTTTTGCCCACATAGTCAATCTGACATTGACATTTATATAGATATATTACTAGACTTTGTTGATTGGCAGGCAAGACATCCTTACGGCAAGGGGGGAAAGCCCTTCTGGTTGAAAAAAAGTTCTCTGGAGCATAACAGCATTGAAATACTGTTTGATGGAATTGGCAATGTTGTCAGCATACGTTTGACCCCTGGACCAATTCATAGTAGTCTCACATATACAGGACATTTAAAATGACCACATTTCTTGACCTCAGTGAACTTAATTTTTTGCTCAATGATGGATGCAACACATTTCAGGTAACCATTCATTAATAACAGCTTTTTAATTTTATTTTTTAACTCAGCATCAAGCCTATACTCAGGACACAACATCAAAGCACGATGAGTAAAGGTATTGATAAGATTAATTTTCCTGGTTCTTGGAGCAAATGAATCCCAAGTTAGGTAAAGCCCAGAAAAAGTGGGTTTACAATAAAACACTGGAAAGAAAGCCCAAAGTTGTTCTTTTCTAATACATCCAGAAATCAAGACTCAACAATTCTATTCAATTGAGAAGTAAAGTACAGTCACTTTCTTATAAAATTAAGTCCTTGAATTCTTGTTCTTAAAACTTATCCCTGGGAACATTGCTCAGTGTGTCTCAAAGATTAAGGGTCGTAACATTTATAATGTAGAGCAAGCTTTCTCCTCAGGATTAAATCCTTTAATTTCCTCAGCAAGAACCCATTATCAGGCAGTATAGGGCATTGTCTTGCACACTATTTCTTCTGGATAAGATTCAGTTCTCCAAATATCTGTCTGAAGGTGACGTCTTTTTTGGAAATAGAACCAAAGCTAAAAATTTTTTAGCTTACTTGAATTCCTTGATTAAAAGGAAATTCAGTTCTTATG